AAGCCACGTGCATCACAGCTCTGGTCTGCAGTTCCTGAATAATACATTTGAGTTTTTTTTTTTTTTAATGAATTGGACATCTTTGATGAAATTTGTTGAACTCTTTTACAGGTTTACTAACTGCACTACTTTGACATTTGAGAGTTCTGTATATATTCACACATCTGGAAACAAATCCTCTATCAGATAAAGAGGGCTGGTTCTTTGCAAAAATATCTTTAGGTCTAACGTTTTCACTCCCCTAACAGTTTCTTTCAAAGAATAGTTCTTAAGTTTTGGTGTCTAATTTACAGAGGTTTTCAAAATATTACAGACCATGCTGCTGGTACATTCAACTCTTTAAACCAAGATGTAAAGGATTTTTCCATTAGCTTCTAGAATTGTATAGCTTTTGGTTTTAAAATGAGATCTTTCTGGGGTACCTGGGTGGCTCAGTCGGTTAAACATCGGACTTCAACTCAGGTCATGATCTCACGGGTTTGTGAGCTTGAGCCCCGTGTCGGGCTCGCTGATGCCAGGGTAGAGCTGATCCTCTGGCTCTTTGGATCCTCTGTCCCCTTCTCTCTGCCCCTCCCCTGCTTACGCTCTCAAAAAATAAATGTGAAGAATAAAATGAGATCTTTTCAATTCTTAAGTTTTTATTCCTACCTGTTTTGACTCATGTCTGTTCTAGTTTTTCTTTTTTTGGTATGTCTAGTTATCCGGGCTGGCTGTCAGACCTTGTGGGTAACAGTTTTCTTATAATTCTATTTTGTTCTAGGATACAGTTACATTACTTGGAAGCAGTTGCATTGTTCTGGCTCTTGCTTTAAGGATTTTTGGACAAGCCCAGAGCATGGGCTATTAGTCTAGGTAGATCACCCACCCCCAGGACAGAACACCCTCCCACATTCCTCCACACAGCACCCCGAGTTATGAGGGTATCTGTGCCGTGGCAGCAGCTACACCTTCTGAACTGGAGTGCACCCTGAGCATGGTTCTTTGATCTTCCCAGAAGGTCCTTTCCAGGTCTTAGTACTTCCCTCCAATACGTGTGGTCCTTTACACTTTCCAGAGCACTCCTTGGGCATTTTCAGCACTTATCGAGAATTCGCGGTCCTGCAAACTGGAGCTGTTCTCACTGCGCTGGAATCTCAACTTCCTCTCCTCACCGCAGGGAACCTGCTTGGTCTTGGCTTCAGTTCCCACTCCCTGGACCCCAGCCAGAAAATTCTCTGAAGGCCATGATCTCAGAAAATCATGGGCTCCTTTGTTTATGGTCGCTTAGGAAGGAATCCAGGGTTTGTTTGTTTTTTTTTTTCTGGTTTTATATATTCATCATTGTGGGCAGGATCATCAACCTAGTCCCGGTTATTCGTCTTGGCCAGAAGTATAGGTCGTTTTTTGTTTTTTTTTTTTTCTAAGAGGAGATTGCTATAATCTAAGAGTAATTATTAAATACCTCTCCACATTATAATCAGCTAAAACCACCATAAATGTTGCTCTCTGCAAATCACTGTGCTTTTATGCCAAATCACTTTGTGGGTTACCTCACGTTGAATGTTATGAGCTCCAAAGTAGGTCAGTTCTGACATGCTAATAATTTGTCTTGGGAATAAACACACAAAATCCGAGGGAACAGTTAGCAAGAGGCGGTATGTGCTGAAGCAAGGGTGTTGGGAGAAAGCCAAAGGAGGGACAGAGCCGGCGGACAGGGGCAGGAAGAACAAACCAGAGGGAGGAGGAGACAAAAGTAATCTTTCCACTCTGGGGCTCTTAACACACGATGCAAACCATGGAATGCCTGAATGATTAGTCATTGTGCATTCCTGATGCTACGCGTGTACTTAGCCATTTCAATTCAATGTAGTACTTGTCCATTTCAATAATTGACAAACAACATGGTAAGAGGAAATAGAAAAGGCACATTTAGGGGGAAATGTCTGGATTTTAGACAATCCCCCATGGAAAGCTTTGGAAAAAAAAATCATTTTGGTAATAGTTTCCTAGCCCATATGCCAAGTAAGAAAAGTGGATGGACACTTTTCATTTAACTGCTTTAAATATAATTTATACTCTGTCCTGTCCCATATTGTTTTATGAAGTCAGCACTCACCAGATGGCATTTGAGAACTAGTCCAGTATCACAGTTTATCTGTAAACTAAATATTCTCATAGAAGTTCTAGGCAGTATCCCGTCTCCTATTAAATTGAGTATTCTTCTCAGAGTTCCCATATGAATTTGATGTAACAGTTCTCCATTAGAAGGGCTTTAAGACATTGGGGTCAAGTGAACAACATTCTATTAAGGTGAAGGATCATTGTCAATAATTTTGAAGTGAGCTGGATTTAGTTAAGCAACCATGAACTGGACAGCTGCATTTTATAATTGACAGTAGAGAAACCAGAATAGTAAAGATAATCAGAGATCAAAGGTAGGTACTTCTCGGCCTCTATGTACCTGAATTAAGACATCAGTTCCTGCTCCTAAAGAAGTTTAGGGATCAAAATTAAGAGACATGTCTGCAATTCTGCAAAATTTCAACAAGGTCCCTCAGTTCTGCTTTTTGAAAAGCTCAATTTCTATTCCAAGACATGTAATTCATCATCAAAATTACATCATTAAATAAAGACATGATGGCTACGTCAAGCACTGGTCGACTTTAATTTGGTGAGAGACTAATTTAGAAGTTTCAGGATATTAGGGACAGGACAGAGAGGCCCACGAAACATTGGAATGGACCCTGAGGTGCAGGGACCTTCATATCATCTAGTGTTAGGAACTAGTTTTATTTGTTGCTAGGGAGGAATTACATTCAGCCCAAACTCCATTTAGGGAAAAAGAAAAGGCTTTTTCAAGGTCAGATCACGGGGTACAGAAGCAGTGGCCATCCCAAAGTCTCAGATTTTTTTTTAATTTTTTTTTAAATTTTTTTTTCAACTTCTTTTATTTATTTCTGGGAGAGAGAGAGACAGAGCATGAACGGGGGAAGGGCAGAGAGAGAGGGAGACACAGAATCGGAAACAGGCTCCAGGCTCCGAGCCATCAGCCCAGAGCCCGACGCGGGGCTCGAACTCACGGACCGCGAGATCGTGACCCAGGCTGAAGTCGGACGCTTAACCGACTGCACCACCCAGGCGCCCCTCATTTTTTTTATTTTAAACGAAGCAGAATGTTCCAGCATGGAGATAGGTGACCCCTGTGTTTAACCACAACCCTTCAGCTCTTGGAAAGAACTTTAATCACGAATACAGAAGCTTGCTGGGGCAATCAGGGCTAGATGAGGCATACAGTGGCATGCACACAGAAAGCATTAATGCAACAGCCAAAAGGAGAATTAGAGCAAAAAGGCAAGATGAAACTAAAACATCACCTCAATCAGGCCTCTACCATACTTCGCACTGCACCAATAACAAAACGTAATTCTAACCATCTCCAGTAGCGGCCCAAGCCCAACCCATTCTTCTCACAGACCTGCGTTCGTTTCTACAGACAACACAGAATACCACCCTGATCTGGAAATCAGGGCAGTGTGGCCCGGGAAGGCAACCAGAAAATGCCATGGAATGTTGGTTTGCCCAAACTGACAAGATCCAAGCATGTTATGAACCACACACCTAAGGACCAGGAGGAGAGACTAAGAGGAAAATTACCAGGTGTACTCACAACTGCAAAGAAAAGATGCCTCCCCCACCGCCGCCATTCCCGAAAGCAGCCAGGGCGTGCCCGGTTGTAGTCGGACCTAAAGGTGGGAACCAATCAAGTTCTGCTGAGTGGTTTGAAATAAAGGCAGGAACCAAACAAGTTCTGCTGAGCGTTCAAATTTAAATGTCAACCAATAACAACTCTGTAACCTCAAAAAAAAATCCCTAACTTGTTTGTGCTGGTCTATAAAAGAAGCTGTAAGATCCTTGCTCGGGGCCTCTTAGCGTCACCAGCAACGAGTAGCGGAGGACCGGGTTCGAACCTGCAGTAAATGACCCTTGTCGCTTGGCTTTGCCTCTGGTGGTTTTGGGGGGGGGTCTCTCAAATCGGGGCATATCTGGGGGCTCGTCCGGGATCCCCCCAAACCCACCAGACCCCAAGTCAACGGGTCGTCCCTGAGACTGATTGGTGAGCCGGCTCTGTCCGTTTCTGTTTGTTCATTTCTGGCTCTCCCGCGCAGGATCTGTATCAGTGACTGACACGGCCCTGGCAGACGCGCTATAGGGCAGTCGTCGGGTCCAGTAGGAGACGTCCACCGGCACCCGTCTGGGGCACCTTTTTGGGTCCATTGGAATTTTTCTGTTCGGGTGGCAGACACCCGAAATGCGCTAGCGAGCGATCTAAGTGTTGTGTTCTCTATTCTGTAACTTTTAAGTGTTAAACTCCTTCTCTTTCACAGGTGACCTGGCCTGGCCCAGCCAGAAATCCTCATAACTTTACTGTTTCTCCTTTTAATCCTTTCCTCCACCTCCAGAATACAGATGGGACAATCTCAAAGCACTCCTCTCTCTCCCCTTGTTGCTTACTTCAGGGATGTTAGAACCAGAGGACAGAATTTGAGTTTAGACATCCGGTGGGGAAAATTAATAACCCTCTGCCGCTCCGAATGGCCAATCGAAGGAGCTTTCTGCCTATGATTGCTAAGGTGAAATCAAATATTTTTCTACTGGGTCGCGAGGGACACCCGGATCAGATTCCCTACATTCTTGTATGGCGGGGTTTAGTGGAAAATCCACCCCCTTGGTTGGGCCCCTTCCTATCCTCGGGAATGTGTAAGGTCCTTGCCATGCAGCCTGCAGGTCCCCCAAAATCAAGGACCCCAGCCACGCCCTTGTATCCCATATTGCCCGACAGTCAGGACCTACTATCCCTAGACCCTCCACCCTATCATCCCCCTCCCCTCGCACCCCAGGCCCTGCCCGCAGCAGCCACCCCACCAGTAGCCCTGCCAGTTGCCCCCCTGGGGAACCGGGAGGACGGGAAGCGGCAGCCGCACCGGGCCCCATTGAAAGTGAAACCAACGTCAAGGGGCCAGCCGGCGGAACCCGCGGGCGCACCCAGCGTGAGCCAAACCCCCGCCTCCCCGACTCCACTGTGGCCCTACCCCTGCGGGAAATAGGACCCCCCGATGAAACAGGCAACCCCCGACTCCAGTATTGGCCCTTTTCCACCAGTGACCTTTACAACTGGAAAACGCAGAACGCTCGATTCTCTGATAACCCTAAAGATCTAATAGCTCTTCTAGACAGTGTCATGTTCACCCACCAGCCCACCTGGGACGACTGTCAGCAGCTCCTCCGCATCCTGTTCACCACAGAGGAGCGAGAGAGGATCCAATTAGAAGAAAGCTGGTTCCCGGAGACGAGGGTCGGCCGACATCTAACCCTGACCTCATTAATGCGGCTCTCCCCCTAACCAGGCCTCCACAGGACGAATGGGACTACAACACGGCAGAAGGTAGGGGAAGGCTACTCATCACCAAACTCTGATGGCGGGTCTCCAGGCTGCAGCTTGCAAGCCCACCAATTTGGCTAAGGTATATTTGGTCGTACAGGGAAAAACAGAGTCCAGCTGCTTACTTAGACTAATGGAAGCCTTTAGACAGTTTACCCCCATGGATCCAGAAGTCCCTGAGAACCAGGCTGCTGTCGTTATGTCCTTTGTAAATCAAGCAGCTCCTGACATTAAAAAAAAACTCCAAAGGCTAGAGGATTTAGAAGGTAAACAGATCCAGGATCTGCTCTGTATAGCACAACGGGTCTACAACAACAGGGACGCCCCAGAAGAAAGACAGATCAGAGCCACAGAGAAAATGACTAAAGTCCTGGCCGCTATGGTCCAGAAACAACAGCCACCCCCAGAAGGCATTCAAACAATACGCCCTCCCAGGCGGCACTTAAAGATCAGTGCGCCTATTGTAAAGAAAAAGGCCATTGGATACGAGAATGCCCCAAGAAGAAACAACCCCACCCCAGCCAAGGGCAATGGCAGCCAAAAATAGCCCCCATACTGCTACCCAAGATACAGAATAGGGAGGACTGGGTTCGGATCCCCTCCCCGAACCTAGGGTAACATTGCAAGTGGAGGGGACCCCGGTCCAGTTCCTAGTTGATACCGGGGCACAGCACTCAGTTCTGGTCAAGCCCCATGGAAAAGTAGCTGAAAAATCATCCTGGGTACAAGGGGCCACCGGAATAAAGAAGTACCCCTGGACAACTCAGAGGACTGTGGACTTAGGAACTGGGAAGGTAACCCACTCCTTCCTGGTCATTCTCGACAGCCCCTGCCCCCTGTTGGGGAGGGATTTGCTTACCAAAACGGGGGCCCAAATTCATTTCCAACCGGGGGGACCCACAGTGACTGACTTCCACAACCAACCCATATCTGTACTCACTGTGAAACTAGAAGATGAATATAGGCTCCATCAGGAACCCACTCCTCGGGATCAGGGCATCGAGCCCTGGCTTCAACGCTTCCCAGACGCGTGGGCAGAAACAGGTGGTATGGGGTTAGCAAAACATCGCCCAGCCCTTTTTATAGAGGTCAAGCCCGGGACGGACCCCGTCCGCGTGCGCCAATACCCTATGCCCACGGAAGCCAAAAATGGCATCACACCGCACATCCGCTGCCTCCTTGACTTCGGGGTCCTATGCACCTGCCACTCAGCACGGAATACCCCCCTGCTGCCCATGCGCAAACCCAACAGCGGGGAATACAGACCAGTGCAGGACCTGAGAGAAGTCAATAAGCAGGTGATGGACATACATCCAACTGTTCCTAACCCCTATACTCTCTTGAGCGCCCTCAGCCCAGAAAAACAATGGTATACTGTTCTGGATCTAAAAGATGCTTTTTTCAGCCTACCACTAGCCCCTAAAAGTCAAGAGCTATTTGCATTCGAGTGGACAGATCCAGACAAGGGCATAAGTGGCCAGCTCACTTGGACCAGACTGCCACAAGGATTCAAGAACTCTCCGACCCTGTTCGACGAGACTCTACACGAAGATTTAAGTGAGTACAGACAACACCCTAATATAACTCTCCTACGGTATGTTGATGATCTCTTAATAGCTGCCGAGACACCCGAAACCTGCATCCAGGGAACCGAAGGTCTCCTGCAAACTCTGGGAACCTTAGGCTACCGCGCCTCAGCAAAGGCGGCTCAGATCTGCAAGTCAGAGGTAACTTACCTGGGTTACTTACTGAGAGGGGGGCAACGCTGGCTAACGGGTGCCCGGAAGGAGACTGTCCTTCGTATTCCCAGACCACAGACACCACGACAGGTGAGGGAATTCCTAGGGTCGGTTGGGTTCTGCAGACTATGGATACCAGGGTTTGCTGAATTAGCAAAACCTTTATACCAGGCAACAAAAGATCAAAACAGCCTTTTAGTTGGACGGAAGAAGCCGAACAGGCCTTCCAACGAATTAAAACTGCTCTGCTATCAGCACCTGCCCTGGGACTCCCCGATGTCTCCAAACCCTTCCACCTATATGTAAGATGAAAACCGAGGCATAGCTAAGGCGGTGCTAACCCAGCATTTAGGCCCTTGGCACAGGCCAGTAGCCTGTCTAAAAAGCTAGATCCAGTGGCCGCTGGATGGCCACCCTGTCTCCGGATGATTGCAGCCACTGCCCTAATGGTAAAGGACGCTGATAAGCTGACCATGGGCCAAGAGCCACAAGTCACTGCCCCGCATGCCATTGAGGGCATCCTCAAGCAGCCGCCTGACCGATGGCTGAGCAATGCCCGACTCACTCATTACCAGGGACTGCTGTTGAACCCCCTCAGGGTCATCTTCACCACCCCCCACCAACGGCCCTGAACCCAGCATCACTGCTGCCAGACCCAGACATGGGAACCCTACTTCATGACTGTGCCGACATACTGGCTCAAGTTTATGGGGTCCGGGAGGACTTGCAGGATCAGCCATTATCGGACACAGACGCCATCTGGTTTACCGACGGAAGCAGCTTCGTTCACCAAGGACAAAGGTATGCAGGGGCGGCCGTGACTTCAGAGACCGAGGTGGTGTGGGCAGAAGCTCTACCCCCCGGAACCTCGGCCCAGAAGGCTGAGCTAATAGCCTTACCCCAGGCCCTAAAATTAGGAAGAGACCGCAAGCTAACCGCGTACACTGATAGCCGATATGCCTTCGCCACTGCTCATGTACATGGGGCGATATACAGAGAACGGGGCTCCTCACAGCTGAAGGGAAAGACATCAGAAATAAAGAAGAGATTCTAGCCCTGCTAGCAGCCTTATGGGAACCCAAAAAGCTAGCGATTGTGCATTGCCCAGGACACCAGAAGGCAACCGACCCAGTTTCCCGGGGCAACAATTTGGCCAATCAGACTGTAAAAAAACATAGCTCGGCCCCCAGTGCAATTGCTGACCCTACAGCTGCCAGACCCCGGGCCCCGGGAATTGCCCCCCAGCCCTGAGTATTCAGAAAGCGACCTTCAATGGATGAGTAAACTTCCTATGACCTGAATCAAAGATGGCTGGTGGAGAGACTCTAAAAGCAGCATTATACTCCCAGATAAACTAGGATGGCAAGTTCTAGAGCGGATCCATCGCAGCACCCACTTAGGTTCCCGGCGAATGTTGGACTGAGACAGACTGGACTAAAAATCAGAAATGTCTCTGATAAGGTCGATCAAGTAGTCACTAAATGGACAGTGTGCCAACTCAACAATGCGAGTAGCAATCCTCAGACAACAGGGGTAAGACAAAGAGGGAGCAGACCGGGGACCTACTGGGAAGTAGATTTCACTGAGGTAAAACCAGGAAAATACGGATATAAGTATTTGCTAGTTTTTGTAGATACCTTTTCAGGATGGACTGAAGCCTTTCCAACCAAGAATGAAACGGCGCAGATTGTAGCTAAAAAGATCCTAGAAGAAATCCTGCCCAGGTATGGTTTTCCAGTGATGATAGGGTCAGACGATGGACCTGCATTCGTCTCTAAGGTAAGTCAGGGACTGGCTTCCATACTTGGGGCTGATTGGAAATTACATTGTGCATACCGACCCCAAAGCTCAGGACAGGTAGAGAGAATGAATAGAACGTTAAAGGAGACCCTAACCAAATTGACCATGGAGACTGGTGCTAATTGGGTGGTCCTTCTCCCCTACGCTCTGTTCAGGGTGCGTAATTCCCTATACAAACTGGGACTCACACCCTATGAAATAATACATGGTAGACCACCCCCCATCATCCCTAACCTAAAAGATAACCTTGTCAAAGCTGAGAACGATAATAGTCTTGAATTCTTGTTCTCCCTACAAGCCTTGCAGAGGGTCCATGAAGATGTATGGCCCAAATTAAAGGAACTCTAGGAGACTGGCCCCCTGCCTATTCCACATCAATTCCGGCCAGGGGATTGGGTCCTCGTCAAACGTCATCGGCAGGGAACTCTGGAGCCCAGGTGGAAAGGACCCTTCCAGGTCATCCCGACAACACCTACTGCCATCAAAGTAGACGGAATCACCACCTGGATCCATTTCGCCCACGCCAAACCAGTGGACCCATTCTCAGACCTCATCAGACCTTCAAAGACAACCTGGACTGTTGATCGGACTAAGGACAAGCCCTTAAAATTGACCCTACGCCGCTAATGGACTGAGCCGTAACTGTGGTATTTGCCCTTCTCTTGGTGGTTCTGCAAATTCTGTCTGTAAATCCAAACCCCCACACCCCCTATAATTTGACATGGGAAATTACTAATTTAGAGACTCATGAAGTCTACAACAGAACCCTAGGAACTGCCCCATTAAATACCTGGTGGCCAGATTTATATCTTAATTTAGAAAAAATTAGTCCATTAAAAGAAATGGAAGGAGGTAAATGGAAGCAACTGCAAAGGAGGGTATCAATAAGTAGAAATGGATTTTATGCATGTCCGGGATTTAGGACAGGGGCGATGAGGCACACATGCGGAGGGTTTAAAAACCTCTGTTGTGCAGCCTGGAGTTGTGTCACCTCCAATGATGGGGAATGGAAGTGGGAAGTAAAACCCCAATTTATTGAAATGTCCTATGTCCAACCATGTACCCACACCAGGTATGATGAAAACTGTAACCTTATTCATGTAAGATTTACAGAGGAGGGGAAAAAGGACAGGCGGTGGGTCTTAGGACTCACTTGGGGACTCTACTTATATCAATATCCCCTCTTTGGGACTGCCATTCAAATAAAATTAAAAGTCTCCCCTCTCGTACAACTGGTGGGGCCAAATCCGGTATTAGGAAAAAAAAGAAAAAAAAGAGATGAGCCTATCCCCAGGCAGATCCCCACTCCCCCCTCCAGCAGGACCCCCGTCCTTATCCCAGGAGTAAAAGCACAAGCTGTCCAAAGAAAGCAGAACCCAGAAGGTATAGACTCCCTATGGAAATTGCTAACAGCAGCATATGAGGCCTTAAACCTATCGGACCCTGAGGCAACAAGGGCCTGCTGGCTATGCTTTGATATAAAACCCCCCTTCTACGAAGCCATAGGTCTAGCTGCCCCTTTTTCAGTCAGGAGAAGAGTCGCCAGCAGCTTGCAAGTGGAATCGAAAGGGCCCCCGTCTCACACTGCAAGCGGTCACTGGCAATGGGACTTGTGTAGGAAAGGTCCCCTCTAGCCATATCCAGCGCTGTGGCCCGACTAATTACTCTATGGGTGAATCTAAATGGACAATTCCAGCTCCTGACAGTTGGTGGATTTGTTCTAAGACAGGGCTCACCCCATGTGTTAGCAGGGATGTTTTGAATTTGTCACCTGAATATTGTATCATATTAATATTTCCAAAGGTTATTTACCACCGAGAAAATGTATATGGTCTGTGGACAGAAGGGACGGAAGCAAGAGAGTCAATAAGAACAAAACCGGAACCCTTTACGACCATAACCTTGGCCACCTTATTTGGCCTCGGTGCCATAGGGGCAGGAACAGGGATCTCATCACTAGCCATCCAGCACCGAGGGTTCAATAGCCTAAGGGCAGCCATTGGTGAGGATATAGCCAGACTTGAGGACTCCATCTCACACCTCAAAAAATCTCTGACCTCCCTTTCTGAAGTGGTCCTACAGAACTGAAGGGGGCTAGATCTAGTCTTCCTCCAACAGGGAGGTTTATTTGCAGCCTTAAGAGAAGAATGTTGTTTTTATGCTGACCACACCAGAGTAGTCCGAGAGTCCATGGCTAAAGTTAGAGAAGGCCTGGCCAAATGGAAGCGTGAACGAGAACAACAACAAGGCTGGTTTGAGTCTTGGTTCAATCAGTCCCCATGGCTAGCCACCCTGCTTTCTGCTCTAGCTGGACCCCCTATACTCCTCCTCCTCCTTACCCTCGGGCCTTATATTATTAATAAACTAGTTGCCTTTATCAAAGACTGAGTTAACACGATCCAACTGATGGTCCTTAGGACCCAATACCAACCCGTCATTACCGAAACATTGGAGTCAGACACAGAAGATCCAAGATTGGCTCTTAAGGTACCAAAGAGGGGGGAAGGAGAGACTAAGAGAAAAATTACCAGGTGTACTCACAATTGCAAAGAAAAGATCCCCCCCCCCCCATTCCCGAAACCAGCCAGGGCATGCCCGGTTGTAGTCTGACCTAAAGGTGGGAACCAATCAAGTTCTGCTGAGTGGTTTGAAATAAAGGCAGGAACCAAACAAGTTCTGCTGAGCGTTCAAGTTTAAATGTCAACCAATAACAGCTCTGTAACCTCAAAAAAAATCCCTAACTTGTTTGTGCCGGTCTATAAAAGAAGCTGTAAGATCCTTGCTCGGGGCCTCTTAGCGTCACCGGCAACGAGTAGCGGAGGACCGGGTTCGAACCTGCAATAAACGACCCTTGTCGCTTGGCTTTGACTCTGGACTCTGGTGGTTTGTTTTCGGAGGGTCTCTCGAATCGGGGCATATCACAGGACTGTGGATAATTAGGCTTGTTTGACTCTACTCCACCTTGCACGTTGACATTGAATACTTGAGTCTCTTCAGGCACAAAGTTCAGGGATCAAATTTAAATGATCTGTAACAACACTAGTAATTCTTCACTCGTGTGCACTTTCCTCTGACCTGATACATGGAAGGCCCAGACTCAGGCACAGGCAGTGACCACAGAAGGGGCTTGGGAAGGAGGACAGGGATGGGCACGAATGTCTGCCACACTTAGGCTCAGGGGCTCTGTATCTATGCTTTCTGGACCAGAGAACTGGATAGTTCTATGGTGTGGGGGCAGTCCTGCCCACCGTAGGACTTTTGCCAGCATGTGGGGACTCTGCCCCCTAGAGGCCAGGAGCACTCCACAGTCATGACAACCCAGAGGTCTCCAGATAAAGCCAAACGTCCCCCAGGGGCAGCGGAGGGACACTTTTCATGTCGCTCATTAAGACTTCCTGAGTCATTGGGGGCCTCACCCCCACTCCTGAGTCTCAGGGATGAGAGCACTCTCTACCTGAGAGCTGGGAGAATTCTCAGCAGGTGATCCCGGCTTTCCTCCAAGAGCATTCGTCATCTGTATTGGGGTGAGGCGTTCTCACATCCCTAGGCTTCCTTGATGCTTAAGATATTTGCCACTGGGACAGGGTCTGTACCCACACGGATTCATTCAGGAGGTAACGTCAGACGTCCCTGTGGCCACTGCAGCAGGGAAAGCAAGACGGTGCCACCCCCCCCCCCCCCCCCCCCGGGGGGGGGGGGTGGGGAGGCAAGAGGAGAACGACCCCCCGTGGGTTATAAAAGGCGTTCTGAAGATACTCTCTCGGGGTAACTTCCACGTTCCCCAGCTGGGCACTGAGCACCTTGAAGACGAAGCCAATATCACCCTTTGGAGTCCCAACATACACACACTCATGGCCCACACGATGCTTGGTGAGGCTTACATCTGTTGACGTCATAAGCTTTTGAGACAGTTACTGAGAAGATGACCACCACCGAGAAAATGTCACCAAAACTGTGCCTTAAACCCAGGACTAGCTACTGGGTCATGAATCAAAAAACCTCCAGAATGTCTTCCCGCTAGCCAGACATAAAATTACAGACAGGGTAGGTCTCCTCACGTCTCCTCATGGTCACTCTAGAGTAATGCACAGACCATGGTACCATTTCTTTCCAGTTAGGAAATAAGAATCACACATGCACGTACAACCATGTTTCTACCATTAGAAACAATCAACCATCTGTGAAGGGATAAATTTACTTTCTTTCTCGATAAGGAGAATGAAAGTAAGTATAAACAGTCTCTGTAGTACTTCACTTAAGACACAGAGGAATAAAAAAGATTGTTGATAATTAAGAATAGGACTTATACCAGTTGGGGTTTACAAAATGAAAATAGTTTAAAATCCACAAGGTACCTTCAGCTTGTTACATCTTCAAAGCAATCCTAAGAGGTAGGTTTTTTTTTCCCCCATCTTTAACTTAAGGGCTGAGCAAATTCAGTTAGTTACTGATGAGCATGGAGTCCATTAGCAACAAATACAAAGATCTGAATCCTGAAATTCCCCCAAATCCTCTGCTCCTTTCTTCCCACTGTGCCCCGCTGGAAAGTAAGTTTCCTTGTTGCGGCCATGAGATTAGAAGGCAGCGACGTGTAAGTAGAGAGGGAAGTGCGCTACTGGACCAGGGTCCCGGAAATGCAGAAGCGGTTCACCGGCCACCTGCGGCAGACAAGGCCCTTGAGGGGGTCAGGGGGTCAGGGGGTCGTGAGCTCATGAGGGATTCAGAGACCTGCACTGCCTCATCCATTCCTAGGGTTAAATGTGCTCAGTCCCATGGCATGTAAGATTCTGAACATAATGAAAAGGTGCCATTATTGGCTTAGTATCAATTTCCAAGAAACTTGTATGCATTTACATACTTTGACAGTCAATGTTCTAGGACGGGCTTTTTCTTTATAAATTCAGTTGAAGATTTACCCTCTCAACCAAAGCCCTCCAATTTCTCCAGTTTTGTATTAACATACTGGATAGGAGATAGAGGATATGTATAGTAAGTTTAAGGCAATTATTTTTTAAAAGATTCTTTTTAAGCAGTCTCTACACCCAAATAGGGCTTGTATGACTTTGAGGTCAAGACTCAGACTCTTCTGAGCCAGCCAGGCGTCCTCAAGGCAATTTGATGTACCTGGAAAATCCAGCTTTCCTTTCGAGACAGAAGTTTTATAAATTCATAATCTTGATTAAATAGTAGTATTCATTGGAAGTTTAGTATCGTGAAGGTCTCTTCTTACGATAGTCAGTGACAATACCCAGGTTATAGATATTACCAGAGTGAATAAAAGAGGTCTAATGAGATCATGAAAAAAATCACTTCAGGAGGTGAAGAATATC